AAATCAATAAATATATTTTTTGATTAGGGCCTAGGATGCAATGACGTTGCAGTTCCATGGGTCCGCCCATCCATCCTCCTGTGCACACATCAAACAACGCAGGTTTCATCGAGGGACACTGTACACCACACACACTGCAGAGGGACAGCCGCTCCCCCAGCTCCAGGCCCACCTTGCACTTGCACACGTGTGCCTTCCTCTGTCCCATGCACCCAGCCCAAACCTTGCCACCAGAGACGTGGAATCTTTGACGTGGAGCAAACATCACAAGAAGTGGGATAAGAACCGAAGGGAAGAACTGATGGTGAAAATAACCTCCGTCATTTATCAGGGCCTGGCTGTGTAAGATATTGTCCCACAGGTTATCCTCATTTTTTCATCTTGCAATAACTCTCTAAGATAAGCCACTACTTCTCTACTATTTCCGTCGAGGAAATAAAGGTCTATAAGGTCAAAGAAATTGTCCAAGGCCACGCAGCCAACGAGCAGCATAACCGAGACTCAAACCCGGTCTCTTTCCCTCCAACTGATTGAGAAAAGCCAACTGCTGTCGGTCCAAGAGCCACCCTTTTGAGGAAGGCATCTAATTTGTAATTCAAATGTAATATTCTCCTCACTGGCACTTCCTATGCTGAGTGGGGCGTGCAAAGGACTTTTCTGAAGTCGGGCTGGATTTTAGCTGCGGATGGCAAAGTGCAGAACAGTTTCCTCCTTGGTATTTTAGAAGTTCTTCATTCTAACCATCTGTTGCGGGCTGACAGATGGGTTGATCCATGACAGGATAATGGGTCTTCAATTCTAGAAAGGCATAAGGAATGCTTAAAAAATAGCAGCTCTTTTCATGAACCTAACTGAGCTAACACCTCTTGCTCACTTGCAAAAAAAATATTTGTGGGAGGGAAGTGTGAAATATAATCATAATCATTCCCCTAAACAGAAGATTTCTCACTATTGCCAAAGGTCAAATCCAGTAAAATATGCCTATTCTAAAATTATACTAACGTTTTCAAATCCACCGTTTAAAAGGGTACACAGGGCGAAGGGGAAAGGTATGCATAAAGAAAAATAATAGCCCTAACCGGTTTGGCTCAGTGGATAGAGCATCGGCCTGCGGACTAAAGGGCCCCAGGTTCGATTCCAACCAAAGGCACATGCCCTGGTTGCTGGCTCGATCCCCCCCAGTAGGGGGCGTGCAGGAGGCAGCCAATCAATGATTCTCTCTCATCATTGATGTTTCTATCTCTCTCCCTTCCTCTCTGAAATCAATAAAAAGATATATTAAAAAAAGAAAAGGAATAAAAACAATTCCCTCCTCCCCCCCCAAAAAAAACACCTTATTCCATCCCTATCTTTCAGTCACTTCATTTTTTTATAGGCAGCCAGTATTAGAGTTTCTTATATCTTGGAGATAATTTAAGGAACAGACCAATTTTTGAAATCCAAATGCTTTTCCCTCTAAGTGACTCAGCCAAATGTGAAGTCTGTATCCTTTCTCCTCCATTCAGGGGTATGTATGAGAACTTGTATATGTGGCAGATATTTGGCGAGGCACGGGGACACAAGTGCTGCAGACTGTCCCCTCCCCAAGGAAACACTACAGTCTCGTGAATGAGACCAACTTGGGAACAGACTTGGGCTAACACAGGCTATGTGCCTCCTGAGTGAGCATTGATCAGAGCAGTGGCTCATTCTCCCAGGCAGAACGTCTTCAAATGGCCTTACATGTCTTAACCCAGCCACCCAGCTCTTTTCCAATCATGCACTGCAGCCAGATGAAATACACACACACACACACACACACACACACACACACACACACGTGCATGTGCCTGGTTGTCGCAAAGTATTATTGTAGCTCTACCTACAAAGAACCACTGGCTCAAAATTTAGACAGTATTAGCAAAAATTTGGCCATATGAATTTAACCTCAGCAGATGAATCTATTTTCAAAAGAACATCAGAATACAGATTGGAAAAAAACACCAAGTCATTGCAGCTGAATTTATGGTCCAACATCATTCACCATGAAAAATCCAGCCACGCCCTCATCTTCACCACCATCATCATCCCACCCGTTAACTCAACACTAGAAGGTTCCCGTCTCCATGCTTAACATGTTTACTTAAATTTAATTTTCACAGCAATCCTTTGAGTTAGGCAGTCCTATTTCATGTTACAGATATAGACACTGAGGCCCAGAGAGCTGTAAAACCCCTGACCATTTTGCTTTCTTGCATTATTTCCAGCCACACAAATCAACTCTCCCCTGCCCTGTCTGGGAGGTAATTGGTGGTGCAGCACAGTAAGTTAAAGGGATTATGTTTTCAAAGGAGTCATTGACAGCCCGGATTTATCTCGGCAGTTCCTCCCACTCTACGGTTATGTAATTCCGGAGGAGGAGATGCGCATTTTTTTCCAGTTTCAGGGAAGGTGATGGCAAGAGAGCATAGAGCCGGGTTCAGAAGGTGGTATCTGGAAGGTCTGCCAGCATTTTCTGAGTCAAAATTTATCCGTGTGACTTCCTTGAAATGATTTCCTATAATACACAGCCATTTTAAAGTATAGGTTAGTGGTGGGGGCAACTTAAAAATATTTAGACAAATTAAGAAATGACTTTAGATTATCTGATATTTTAATTATCCATGACCTTACTCTTTGCCATTGTATGGAGGGAAAAGATAGTTGTGTGTTATCTCTTTCTTAAAAAGTGTGTGTGTGTGTGTGTGTGTGTGTGTGTGTGTGTGTAGTGTTATCTCATATACATCTGACTTCCAAGTTTTATATACATAAAAGACTGTAGTGGCAGAGTTTTGTTCACATGATGAGAGAACATTGTACCTCAGGGTACCCGTGGAAGGTGAAGTTCAGATCTGGCCACTTTTGACTCTGAGCCTCCTGCCACGCCCCCTGTGTGCCACACTTCCTCCGGTCCTTTCATCTGCACGCAGCCTTTCACCTGCAGATATGTTCACAAGGCCCAGATGTTTCATGTCAGATAGACAAAGCTGGTGGGTAATTGCCTAGATTTTAGCATTTTCACCTAGTTGCTTCAATGGTAGCCCCCCAAATACTTTGGAAGAGCTAACAAATACGTAAAAATAAAAGAGATGGATAAGATGTTCAGTAGCATCTCCAAGTTCCCAGATTGTTTGGAATTGGTGTTTCAGGATTCTTAAAATATATTCCCAGAAGTGGGATTGTTTGGTCAAGAGGTAGGTCCATTTTTTATTCTTTGAAGAAACTCCATACTGTTCTCCACAGTGGCTGCACCAGTCTGCATTCCCACCAGCAGTGCACAAGGGTTCCCTTTTCTCCACATCCTCACCAGCTCTTACTGTTTGTTGATTTATTGATGGTAGCCATTCTGACAGGTATGGAGTGATATCTAATTGTGGTTTAAATTTGCATTTTTCTGATGGTTAGTGATGTTTAGCATTTTTTCATATGTCTCTTGGCCATCTGTATGTCCTCTTTGGAGAAGTGTCTATTCAGGTCCTTTGCATATTTTTAAAAAATATTTTTTATTGATTTCAGAGAGGAAGGGAAAGAGAGTTAGAAACACCAATGATGAGAATCATTGATCGGGTGCCTCTTGCACATCCCACATTGGAATGGAACCTGCAACTGGGGCATGTGCCCTGACCAAGAATCGAACTGTGACCTCCTGGTTCATAAATCAACGCTCAACCACTGAACCACGCCAGCCGGGCCTTTGCCCATTTTTTAATTGGATTATTTGTCTTTCTTTTGTTGAGTTGTATAACTTCTTTATGTATTTTGGAAATTAACCCCTGCTGAAGTCCTGGACAGTGACTCCCACCCCTGCCACCTCTAAATCGCGAGGGGGGATATCATCGGAAACTTGGAGATGTTTCTTTAAAGTATCATCCTCTTATGTCATAACGATTTTGCTTGAAGTGAATAAAGAAGCTTCTTTCCTCTGAACTCATATCAGACGGTTTTCTAAGCCAGACAGATCTGTATTTGCATTCTGCTCTGCTACTTTCCATGTGTTACCTGATGCACCTGGGCCTCAGTTTCCTCATCTTAAAAATGGCACTAACATGACACTTTTAGGGATAATTTCATATAAAATCTCTCAAAAGCACTCAAAACATTATGGCTATTATTGTCCCCCACTTAGCACAGTCCCAAGCATGCTATAGATAATGCAGAGGCTTGTTAAAAGAATGAATGTATGAATGAATGAATGAATGAATGAATGAATGAATATTACCACTCAGAAGGCTTCACCAATCAGAAAATCTCTTTAAATATTTGAAATCATCATAGCATGGTAGTTAAGAACATGGGCTCAGGAGTTGTGTTGCCTGGGTTTGAATTCTCATACCATCACTGATCGTCCATGCGGATCTCAGACAAGCTGCTCAGCCCTCTGTGTGAGTTTGCCATGTGCAAATGGGATCATGATTGCAACCTCCTTACAGGGGTCTTGTGGGAGCAATTAGGTGAGGGTTATAAGTACTTAACATTATTCGGGGATATAGTAAGCATTTAAGAAAAATATTATTATTATTACTTACTAGAGGCCTGCGATCAGGGCCATCTTTCCAGGCTGCCTGCAGCCAGCCCCGCCCCCCGCCCTCCGCCACCCACCCCCGGTTCCCTGTTCACCATAGGGCGATCAGAGCCTGCCAGCTGGAGAAAGGGACCGAGAGGTGGTCAGTGTGCCTCATAGCTGGAGAAAGGGACTGAGAGGTGGTCAGTGCGCCTCATAGTGACTGGTCAAGCAGTCGTTCTGGTCATTCCACTGTTAGGGTCAATTTGCACATTACCCTTTTATTATATAGGATTTTATAGAAATATAAGTGTAATATCACAAAACTTTGTTGTTGTTGTTTATCAACTTTTCCTTGGTTTCATTGCTATGGGATCTTGGAATTTTCCAGAAGACAAACCAAACAGTTGTATAAACTAAATGATTTGTTTCTAAAATTCACATTTCTTTCACTGTTTTATCTTTCTGTTTGTTTCTATAGGACTTCATCGTCACTGTAGTCTTTTCATTCTTGTGGTTGGTGGGTTCATCAGCATGGGCGAAAGGACTGTCTGATGTCAAGGTCGCAACGGATCCCAAAGAAGTGTTGTTACTGATGTCAGCCTGCAAACAGCCATCCAACAAGTGCATGGCTGTCCACAGCCCCGTGATGTCCAGCTTAAACACGTCTGTGGTATGTTCCCACCTGTGCTTTATCTCCCAATTCTTTGTTTGCCTGTCAAGCGAATAAAACATCTCAGAAGTCATCTTGGAAGTTTCTGCCTCCAAAACTAGGCCAATCTAACAGGTGATATTTCACTCCTTGTGCAAGCTGACCCTTTGGTCCTGAAGTTACTATTGTCAGAACCCATAGACTTCAATGCTGCCAATTACAAAGTTCTTAATAAGAGCTCAGCAGGAATTGGCAGCTGTTGCTTGGATGACAGTCAAATCAAAATTCTAAGCCCGAAGCAGATATAAAATCTGAATGTTAAGGCTGAAGCCTGCCAGAAGTTAAAAATGAATATTTGATGGCATAAAGGTTACTGGGAAGAAAACATTGTTCAAGCCACACAGAGCTAGAATACATCCAATTGATTGTCTAAAGAAAAATGCCCAGACTTGGTAGGCAACAGAAAGAAATGCATCGGATAAGAAAGCACTTACAAATGTTATGGTGACTTTTTATCTTTTCTATGCTCCCAGTTTATTTGCTTAATAACTTCAGAAAAGCTGAACTATATTAGTTAAACAAAGTCAAATATTATCATCAAGTGGATAGCTCTTCCAGGAAGACAGAAAACCTGACAGGCAGCAGGTTGCTAAATTGGATTCTTCCTGTATGAGTGTAAGAACTTGTGTTATTCCAAAGAAAGAAACTATGTCTGAGAAAGACAGAAGCTATACTGGCAACAAAAAGAATAGTAGTTATCGGAAAATAAATGACTCAGCAGCGCTGGCTGAAGGAACAACATTCTTTAGCAGCCCTCGAAAATAATTCTCTTTGCTTCAAGGTTAATTTATGCTCCTGCAGCTTTCTGAAATTTAATCTGAGAAGGTTTATAAGAAGGGAGGAGGGTTGCTCATCGGCTCCTGGTGGCTTGGCTGTGAATCTTGCCTGGGTAAAATAGTGAACATGGAAACAGACTATGTATTAGTGTCTCATCGTCATTTTAAATTTTTTTATTGGTAATTTTTTATTGGCTGCTTCCCACATGCCTTCTTCCCGGGATCCAATTTGATACCTGGGTATGTGCCCTGACCGGGGATCCAACCCTGTTATAGTTATAGACCCATATCAGTTAAGGTCTTTCAGTTCCTAGTGACAGAAAACTCCATTCACACTGGTTACTGCAAAACAATCCTCATCTCCCTACAGTCTGTTCTTCGCACCTTCACTTCTAGCACCAGCATCTGTGTGCATTAGAATGTTAGGGTTGCAAGTAACAGAGACTGACTCTGACTCACTTCATCAGGAAAATTAGTAGCACAGGAAACTGATGAGACCCGAAGAAACAGGCTCTACACACAGCAGGGTCCGGGGCAGGATCAAGGTTCCAGGTGTCGGGAACCGAAGAAAGGTCTCATCAAGTTGCTGTTGATGGCAAGTTGCATAGCTCTGCTCAAAATGCAGAGTCCCTGGAAAGAGCTCCGCAAGGGCAATCACATTTCTATTCTCAAAAGCAGAAGGACAGTATGTTAGTCTGAAAAGCACAGCCATTTTTTTTCCTTGCAAACTCATTCAGCTCCGAATCATACTGAGCTAGCTTTTACCAAAAATAAAAATAAAAATAATTGAAAAAATATTAAAATGTCTCTTCCAAAGGCAGGACCCAGGGCCAGGACCCTGGAAGGCTGGCAGGAAATGGGACAGTTCCCATCCTCCCTCCCCCATCTCTGATGCTGCCTGCATGGCTGCTGCAGGATTCCCTGTTATCAGGTGGGAGTTTTTCTCTTTTTTCTGCTCACACAAGAGAAGACTGCCACTGTACAATTTCTGTGTTTATATTTCTTTTTACAGAAATGTCTCGGACTGAGAAAAAGCCATTCAGGTCTAATCCCAGATTTCTGGTAGAATCTCATTAGCTCATCTTGGGCCAAAATAACTATATTTTGTAACTGGGTAACAATTTACTTTCTTCAAAGCACTTTGGCATCTATAATTTCTCCATAACACTGATAGGTAGGCGAACCCTCCAGCTATTCCAGATGCAGGAGCTGAGGCGAGGGGCTTTGCATAAGGTTTCTCGAGCAGTGACAGCAATGCCAGACTAGAGCCAAGTTCTCCTAATGCTGTTGCCACTGACGTGGTGAAGGGCTGGGTTTTGCAGTGAATCTGCAGGCATTTGAATCCTGGCTCCACTGCTCAATAACTGACTGTTCTTAGGCAAATTTAGTAAGCTTCCTAAACTTAGTTACGTTGTCTACAAAATCTATAGTTTTTCATCATCTATAAAATGGGGATATTATAAAAGAGACCTCACAAGACTGTTGAAAGGATTTGATGCTATAATGTCTAAGTACTTAGCATAGCGCCCAGCATGTGGTAAATGTTCAGTAAGTTTCCAAGGAAAGCTGCTACAAAAAGTGCATTTATTTCCTTAAATCTCACATAGTGTTAGGGCCTCACAAGGGAAAAAAAGAGTGTTTTTTACTCTCTCAACTTTCCTTACCAAGGTTCATTGCCCTTCTATCCAAAATTTCCACTCTGTGTCACCAGCCTCACCATAGGCGATCTTGACACATTTCAGTTCATCCATATTTCATCTCCCCTTCTCTCATGGTACCTGGTGTCTCTCTCTTGTCCGTCCTCACATCTGAGCTTGAATCAAAATCCTCACTCCAGTTTCAGTGGCAAGAAAATATTCAAGAGCCTGTGTCCCCCTAAAATGTGCCAGCCTCGAGGCCTGCTATCTCTGTGATATGAATGGAGTAAGACATCACTGTTCCTTATATATGGGCACATTGATTACATTCTTAATTTAAGTTGCATTTCCCTTGTTTCCAGGTTCTTCTTGCGCATTCCTTTTTTAGCAACCAAGTAGCATCAGGGGAAAGATAGAGACCAATAACTAGAAAACAGTTAAAGTTGCAGCCCCCCGCAGAGCCATCCGTCCATATCTGAAAAGATTCCTTGATAATTTTTCTACTCATATATAATGTTGACACATTTGTACAGAAGTAAAATTTAACCAAAATCTCCCTTTTGATGGAAAATGTCCTAGTTAGTGTACACATAGTTAAAAGGTCCCATATGTAAATTAGAGTCATATCAGTAATTACCCAATTCATTTTGATGATGCAGCTATTACACTAGTATAAGTGCCTTATTTATGTTTTGTATCTCCCTCAGCAAGTAGCCTAGAGCACAGCACAAAGTAATAGTAAGTAAATGTCAGTCAATGTTAAAGGAAAGGAAGCGGATGGGATAGGAGCGAGGGTCGGAGGAAGGGAGGGAGGTCGGTCTGGACAAACCACTCTTCAATTAGATCAGTTAGGGGCCTAGAAACTCAGTTTGGGCTCTTGACATCTTCAAGAATACGGCCTCACTGTCAAAGCCCTGTTTCTGTTTCTGCTGCCACAGAAGAGTCAACTGAAAACAATTCATGGAAATACTTCAGGAAGTGGTTCAGAGCATAGCTTAGCACTCGGTCAGCATTTACTAATGTGCCGGACACTGTCTAGCTGCTCTATGCATCACCTTCCCCCAAGGAAGGAATAATTGTTTGCATTTTATACGATGAGGTTTGGAGGCTGTCTGTCTGAGGTCAGAGAGCAAGAAATTGCCAAGCCCCGGCCCCTCAGTCGGTCTGCCTGATTCATCTGCCGCTAAAAGATGGAAATACTTTGGTTAGTAGGTCCTGCTCCAAGCCCCCAAGACCACTCATCTTGACCATACTAGCCCCCCACTCACAGCCCCAGGGCATTCTGGACCACCCGCCATTCAGCAACCAAGGGGCCAATGTTGAGCCAGCAGGACTTGCAACACCCTACTCCAGGGCTACGGCTCAAGTGCATTTTGGCTGGAGTGGTTACTAAATGTACTTTAATGTTACTGTTTTGTATGTTACTGTTGTTACCTGGCTCCAATGGGGGCCATTAAACTGACTGCCAGGGGTTAATGCCCAGGGCAGCCATCTGCCTTGGGGAAGGCTGCAGAACCCTGTTTTGTCTGGGCCCCTGGCAGCCATGAACACTTCTGCTCCCATCCAACCCTTCACACCTGGTCACCGCCCAGGACACACCTGGAGAAAAAGAGGAATTTGCATAGCAAAGCCTTACACCCCGTGTTTGAAGTAACATTCCTGCCTCTGAAACCTGCATTTTGTTCCTACTCTGGTTTCAGTGTTCCTTCCTGAATGCCAGAGGCACGGACGTGCCACCTCCCTGCACGCAATCACACACATGCTCTCTGCATACCCCGTACCACTGTCTCTCCCATACTTCTTCTTCAAGGGACTCATTTTCTTTACATCATTACAACAAACGGAAAAGGAGTACCTCTAGCCACAAAATGAAGGTAAATTAATGGACCATCATTAAAATGAAAATAATCCTGTACCCCTTACACACTGTGAGGAATACCCATTTGGGGAGATAGAAGGGAGAGACTCAGTCTATGGAGTCAGACAGAACAGGGCTTTGAATCTGAGATCTCATACTTACCAAGTTATGTGACCTTGAACAAGATTCTTAGCCTTGCTTAACCTCAGTTTTCACATCGTTAATGTGGGTATAATAATGCCACCTTCCACTTAGACTAGCTGATTGATATACATAAACTCCTTTACGCAGTGCCTAACACGTAGTAAGCACTCAACAACAGTCAGATGGCCTCAACATTGAAGGGAAAAGTGATCTTTCATATTGTGAAATTGAGGTTTTTCTTGGGTTTCTGTGTATCTTATTAATTCACTAGAGGCCCAATGCACGAAATTCGTGCAAGAGTAGGCCTTCCTTCACCCAGCTGCCGGCACTGGCTTCCCTCTGGCACCCGGGACCCGGGTTTCCCTCGCAGCCCTGGCTTCATCCAGAAGGTTTGTCTGGAAGGACGTCTGGTCTAATTAGCATATTACACTTTTATTATAGATTTGCTTTTGTTCTCCTTTAGGTCTTTGGATTCTTGAACTTCATTCTCTGGGCTGGAAACATCTGGTTTGTTTTCAAGGAGACCGGCTGGCATTCCTCAGGACAGATGTATCTTCCAGACCCAATGGAGAAGCACTCGAGCAGCTATAACCAAGGCAGGTACAACCAAGACAGCTATGGGTCCGGAGGCGGGTACAGCCAGCAGGAGAGTTTGGGGCCAGCCTCCGATGAGTTTGGCCAACAGTCCAGTGGCCCCGCCTCCTTCAGCAATCCGATTTAACAGGGTAGTATTTGCATTCCTCTGGAGATAGCCTCGCCATCTTCCAGTGGCAAGAGAATTTTTATGTATTTCAATCTCTTATTCATACAGAGAGTGTTGAATGTAAATCAGAGATCTGTAATCCTCATTAAGGCAGAAAGGCTGTGTCATGATAAACGGTACTTAGAGACAAGATGACATGAGGAGATATGTCATTCATCAAAAATGGCTAATTGGATATTGTACCTTGTTATATACACAGATACATGGTTGTTTTGTATGTGTGTTGAGATAGTAGAAATATGTTGTAGTTTAAAATCTCTAGTATGTAATATGCATAAAGTAAATTAAATAGCACTGAGTTTTCCTATGCATTTTGCTGCAAAAGTCATCTTAATGATTTCTATAAGACAATTTGGTGTATCTCAATGTGCATGTATTATTATTTTGAGGTGTAGGCCCTATAGGATTACGTCTCAAGTATTTGTTTCAGACAGTTACTCTTGGTGTTTTTTTTTTACTTGATAAATCGATACTCATATGATTTAGTGCATGAATAGGCATTTTTCTCACAAAATGAACATTTCCATGGTATTTATGAAAATTTTCCAGTTTGCACCATGAATTTGTTAAATGGATGTTTAAAATAATATACATACTTTGTATACTTGTAAATTTGTCTCTCTGGCTTCTCCAGTTCTGAATGCATTATAACTAAGATTCGGGGTTCTTCTATCCCTATTAGTAGATATTCAGAGTTAATATATGGTGATTGCCCAATATTTATTCTATTTACTTATCTAAATATTTACATTCCTGTAACTTTCTATGGTATTTTGTGGATCTTATCCTATGGGCCAAGAACAAAAGGCCCAAGAACTTTTTGTGTTTTAAAGTGCTGTTTTCTTAGAATAATAGACAAGTAGATATCAGACATCATAGTCAAGAAGCTATTGTGTTAACATATTAAAGAAGATATTCTGCAGGACCTAAATTACCAACTAAACTTTTAAAATCTATTTATTTATAAAGTTAATATGTTCATCAACTCAATTATTAAAAATTCTCAAGCCTCAACTCAACTTACTAATTCTAATTTGAACGTTACCCATTAATTAGAAATTACTTCCAAAAGCCATTCCGTATTCCAAAGAGGGTTCTCATGAAAGATCCCCCAGAATGAATACATTATCAAGAAAATGCCAATCTTTGCTTCTTTGTTTTAACTCAATTGAAACACGAGGGCCCAACAGTGAGGGAAAGCTGTATTTCTAAACAAAAGTTGGTATCAATGTAGTGAACTCATTGTATGATCTGTGATGTTGAAAACATTTAAACACAAAACAATGTTAGATGATATCTGTAACCAATTTCTGGATCCTGTTGGATAAATCTGTATTGTGATATCTATTTGATCTTAATAAAATTATTGCATACAATGCTGGCTGGATAATGGAGAATCTCAACAATAGAACCTGGTTTAGCTTTAACAATGGAAGAACAAGGGGTAAATGCACAGTGTTTCCAATCTCTTACCCTGTCTTTGTTCCATGAGCACAGGAGTGTTCATTCACTCATTCCACTATTCTGGAACCTTCCATATACCCACCGCTATGCAAGGCACTGGGGTTAGAAGAGTAAGCAAAAGCAGAAACATACCCTACCTGAGAAACTTACACTCTATTCAGAGAGACAGACATTAAATAATCATTCCCCGACTATGCTGTGTGCAACAAAGGGAGGCAAGGATTCCCTGAGAACATTTATCAGAGGGACCTGAGCTAGTGAGGGAGACGTCAGGGAGCTTCAGTCCTGAACATGCGTACAGTTTCACAAGGACTGGGTGGGGGGAATGGCCCAGGCAGAGAGCAGCCTTGCTAAGCCCTCGGATGGCAGGATGGACATGTAGAGTTGCCAGAGGGCAATGAATGAGGGTCTTTGTGAGAAGGTGGCTGCTGGTGGGTGTGCGAGGGAAGCCCTGTGTGGGGGCTGTGATCCAGAACTCTAAGGGAGAACACTGAAGGGTTTTCAGCAGAGGAGGGACGTGATGCATTCTGGAAAGATCTCAGTGGCTGCAGGGTAGAGAGTGGAGTGGAGGAGGGCAGAACAAAGGACATCCTGGCAAAGGAAACAAGCCTTGACTCCTAACATCTCTTAGGCAGTGGGCTGGGAGGGGAAATTGGTCCGAGTTCTGCCCCATCCTCCTCTCATTTCCTGGGACGGTGTCTGGGCTCGACTGCTTCCTTCAGCACCAGCCAGGAGCACAGTGGCCTCTGCTTCTGATACTGTCATGAATGCTCTCTCCAAAGCAGAAACCCATAACCAGCAGTTCGTTTTAGCAGCCTTGAGCACATCTACATCAGCGCTCTCGTAAACAGAAAGCACTCCCTGCCTTGGTGGAGATCAGACGCTGTTCCACAGCCGCTGCAGGCTCACATGCTGCTGTAATCCCACGCGGATTTCACTAAGCTGGCTTGATTCCTTGTGGTTTCAAGGAAAGAGCAAGCAGATCTGGCCTTTTCCAAAGGGGAGTAATCCGTGCAGCAGGAGAGCTGGTCTGTGTGCAGCAGGCCTGATTTGGCATCGCAGCTTCCTGCTCACTCGCTGTACTTCAGGTGCGACTCCACCTTCCTGAGCCTTCGTCCTTGGGAGGAGGTAAAGCGCACAGTAGGAAGGGTGCGCTCCAAGCTCGGGCCAGTGAGGCTGGTCTCTGCGCTGCCATTTACTGGACTCTCCTTTTTCTTCCTTGAGGCCTTCACCAAAGCCCTGGGGCTTTTCTGAAGCCACAGAAGCCTGAAAGCCAGCGCAGACTGGAAACGTAGGGGAGTTGACACCCTGAGAGGGAGCATCCTCAGTCGCTGGGGGATGTGGGCTTTGGCAAGATGCTTAACTTCGCATCCATTGCCGCATGTCTATTATGGAGACAACGGTGATATATGCACGGTAGGACTGACAGGATGGAAAAGGTAAGCCACATTAAGGCATGAGAACAGCTTCTGGCACACAGTAGGTAGTTTGGTTCCCCTGAAAGCAGGGGAAGATGATCCCAGGAGGCAGGAGTGAGGGAAGGGAGAGCAAGACAGGTGAGGAGGGAAAACTGATAAAAGGTCACATCGGGGGTGTTACTGTCGAAGGCTGTAGGGCAAGCATGTCAAACTCGTGGCCCACGGGCCACATGGCTCTTTTATTTGGCCCGTGTTAGCCTTTAAGTTTGACATGTTTGCTGTAGGGGCTCAATCCCATCAGGATCAGAGTATGTTCAGAATGGCTCCTGTAACTTTCCATCAAGGGGCAGGAGCTGAAGCATTTATCTACCAACCCCCAGCCCATGTTGACTGAGATTTGCCCACAGGGGTGGTAACTTGCCCACGTTTGCAGGCTGCACCTGCCCATAGACTGAGCGGCTCCTGCGATTTCAGAGAAACAAGCCTTGAGCCCTAACAGCTATTAGGCAGTGGGCTGGGGTAGGAGGCATGAGTGCTGTCTCTGCCAGCCCCTCCTCCATCCCCTGGGACAGTGGCCTGAGGAAGGGAAGGGGGAGCCCTGGAAGGTGCATGCATGAAGGGGTCACCATCGACATTAGCTGTGAAATCAGAGTCTGGCCGAGGGGAAGGAACGAGGGCATCAAAATCGCCCACGGCAGCAATCAACGGGCATGGCTATGATCACTTGTCTGTCAAATGGAGATACAGAAAACCCCACCTCACAGGGTCCGACAAAGGCTGACCTGGGCACGGGTGGGAAAGTGATGACCTTTATAGCCCTCTACACATGCTAGTTGACTGTTGAATGTTGAGGTATAAGCCTGAATTTTTATAAGTCAGACTTCTAGATGAACAATAGCTCCGACATCTTGGACCTTATCCTCAAGTTTGAAAGGCTCACATAATAGACAAGTAAGCAGAACATGTAAGGATGCATTTCTATTACTGCTGTGAAGAAAAGAAATGAGGCGCAATGGTGGGCGGAGCGGAATAGGGTGGTCGACGAGAGCCCCTCTGAGGCCTGCAGAAGGAGGAGTCAGTCATGGGAGACTTCAGGCAGAGAGAAGAGCACATCCAAGCACATTGGGAGACCACCAAGTACCTTTAAAGGACTAACAAGAGCAAAACTAAGGGGGCTGGGGCACACCACATAAAGGAAGAGTCAGGAGAACTCTTAAAGTTTGGAAGAACCAGGTCATGACGGGCCTTGTAGGACATAAGAAACAAATTGTATTTGAAGTAAAGTGGGAATACACTAGGCAAATAAGCAGGACAATGACATGACTTAATTAATTTTCAGTTTGAAAAGATCTCTCTATTGATGTCCTGGCTCTGACATACTTTAGTTATATAAGATGTCAGCACAGGGGGTAGCTGAGTGAAGGGTTCATGAGACTCTATGTACTACATTCACAATTTCCTGTAAGTGGGGATGCTGAGAATGGATTAATGAACCCATCAGTTCATTCAACAGCCGTATATTGAGTACCTGCTCTGTGCCATGCTGTTCTAGGCTGCTGGGGATATAGATTTGAAGAAGGTAGACATGATCCCTGTGCTTGTGAAGAGGGCATATAGAGATGGTAAAAGATACAAGATAAATCCAAACAGTGATAAATGCTAAGATTGAAAATAAGCAGAATGACATGAAGGAAAGCCATGGGTCTAGAGGAGGGTGGCTGCAGCATGACATGCAGGAGCCCTGGAATGAGGACACGGCAGCCTGAGTTAGGATGGGGGCTCCATAAGCTTAGGTGGGTTCCTAGGGCTTAAATATTAGTGCAGGGACACCTTTGATCCTGGCACAAGAATATGTCTTCATTCATATGCAGCACTTGTAGTTTGGTATCCAAAGGTCATACAATGCACCTATGATTTCATACAATCCAGTAGAAGGTGGATGTCATTGTCCTTCTTTGAAACTGAGTTCCCCCAGAAGTAGACTCTAAGACAAGAAATCGAGTACAAGTAGGGGGTTGGGGTGTGAACCAAGGAAGGGAAGTAAGTCTACAGCTGTGGGCACCTGGGACTCAAATC